AGGCGTTTGGCCCCGCGGCTGTGGGCGTCCGGCTGGGCGCTGGACAGCCTTGCTGGGGCCTCGCGTCTGATGGGTGCCGGAGGGCTCGCTCCGGGACGCAGGGCGATGCGATTCGTGCCAGGCAAGTAACCAGCCCGTCGTCAAAAGACGCCGTCGTCCACCTTCTGCCTCGGAAGCGTCGAATGTTAACTGGCTCCGTGCGTCCTATAAGAGCTATTAAAAAGCGAGGGGGTGGAGGGAGGGCTCGTGATCAGTTCGGCGGCCTTGGCTAACGTCAAGCGATCCTTTCCCAAGGTTACAGGGCACTGGGAAGGTAGCGTTGTTCTGAGCAGAGAAAACGTGCCGTGCGTAGCTTTGTCCTCGTGCTGTTATTTATTTTTATTTTTATTTCCGTTTGGAATAAATAAAAAGCACCAGCCAGAGACTCTGAGCAGCCTGCTCCTGATTGAAAACGAAAATGCAGTACGAGTTGCTCGCTCCCTCCGCCGGGAAGCAGCAAGGCAGCGAGCGCGTTCGTATCCCCGGGTTTCGGCCTGTACCAAATCCCTTTCCCCCTCTCCCAGGCGAGGTGGGATAAGTGCACTTAGTCTCTGGCAGGTTCACTCTTCACCTGCATTTCACTTTCTGAGGAGGTGATAATGGCTCCTGGCATAGGATATCTCCGGTGCTGTTTCTCGCCATGTTTAACGTACACTGCACAATACGAAACAGCCACCTTGATTATGGGCAGAAAAATATTTCTCGCAGTGTTTAAAAAAACCAAAAAATTAATGTATTTATTAGGTTGCTGGTTACCCCTTAAATAAAAGCACAGCGGAACTGAAGAAGCCACTGCAGCCCACCCTCAAAGCAAGTGTACGGCGGGTTTACGGGTGCTGCTGATGCAAGTAACCCAGATGGAGTCCGCTCACGTAGCAAAAGCAACCTGCCTGCAGGATTGGGCCCACAAGCACGCCTGCTGCCAGATGTTGCTCTTCATGGTCCCTGTACAGCCTGTATTTTCAGGATGAGCAAAATGCAAAAAAAAAGGGTTTTTTTTTTTTTTTTTGCTCCTGCTAATTTGCAGCTGATAGACTCATTGAATGCATCTGTTCCTTTGCATGACGACAAAATAGTAATAATGACAATAGAAGAGCATATTTCAGCCTGTGTGTAGCTGAGTGTAACTCAGGGAGTTTTGAAGGGAAAGAAATAGCTGTGTTCGGTGGCTATGGTTCACTTTATTTGGAAAAAAAGTATTGCACGAAAGTGCTTATTTTGATTATCAAGTTCTGATATTTTAAAGCTTTCAGGAAACCTGGTAGTAAGTATTTCAAATAGACAAATCTATTTCAGGTAAGAAATTGGGCCTTATTAGAAGAAAAATGAACGCAAATCAAATTTCAGAAACAGTCCTTGGTTGCACTTTTTTTAAAAATAAAAACTGTGCTTTCTAGGTAACGAAGGGGAGATTCCCTCCCTAGTTTAAGTTTCCAGTAACGATATGTAGGCTGCTCAGGGCTGGGACGCTGGCAAAAAAGTTATACGACTAATTCTAAGCAGGGGAACAGTTCAACTGATGTTCTACTTTCCTGCGTAAAATTACTCACAGCCAGCTTGTGTCGGTTCAAGGTCTTTGTTCATCTATTTTTGGCTATACACAAGGCTATTCTTGTTTAGGTATGAATAAAAACGTTACTCTTGTAAGTAAAACTTTCTTCTGCAGTGCTGTCTATTTCTGTGTATTCTTTATGTTATTGGTTAAATTTAGCTTTGCAATGATTGCTCAGAATTAGCTTTCCTGAAATTACCTCCCTGATACAAATAGCAGTACTGAAGGAGGAGGCTGCTACACCGAATATGGGTTGTGGGATCAAAGCGTGCAGTGGTCCGACCCTAGAGCAGGTAAAACCACAAAGCCTCTTAACTTGTTATCTGGAACCCTGGTACCAAAGTGAATTGGTAGACCCGATCCAAAGCCATAAGAGTGCTTTCTGGTAAAATTAACTAAAAAGGTCGTGGCCCTGGATCAGGTCATGAACATTTTTGGGGTTGTTATCACTTGTCATTTCAAAAAACCCTGGTGAAATCAGTGATGACAAAAGTATCTTTGCATCCAAGGCTTTCAAAATGCGTTGCAAAAAGAAATGGTGATCCTGTCTCATTGATGGGTAAACCGAGGCACTTGGTGACTAAACCCAACGTTTTCAGGAACGCCTGGTAAAATCTGAACAGGGAAAGTAGTTGTGCGTGGACTTTTCCCCGTGTGTGAATCCAGTTGAGCTGGTGGGACTGCATCCCAGGCGTCAGGTTTGGAGAGCTTCCCTTTGGCTCCTGAGCCTGAATGGCCACCACTCCTCGCAAAGTGGATCTTTATATGTGGTTTGGTTTTCTTTTTTAATCATCTTGAGGGAAAATATGAGCGTAGTGAAGTGTCTTGCTTTGGTAGGATGGGATTTTTTCTTTGTTTGCTCCACGCACGCACTTACGGTGTTGATGGTACTTTGTGTTTATCTTAAAGACAGCATGATGGAAGGAATGTATGTTGCCTACATCAATTCACTCGCCCATATAAACATTTTCAGGGGGAAAGTCTGTATTTGTATTTCTACGTTTTGAGATACTCAGCTCTCAATGAGAAATTTTCACAGGTGTGTACAGCTGTCTCTGCTGCTGATTTTAATTTTAAGGGTACATTATCCAAATTTTTGGAAGTCAGGTAGCATGTATCTCGACTTAGCTAACCAGACATGAAGGCAGCCCAGATTTCAATCGATGACTAATTTGTGAGAAGCAGTGAAGTCCTCCTGAGCCCTCGTCTTGTGTTGCACTCGGTAGACCGTGCTTGTCTCCCTCGAGTTAAGGTCGGGCCAGCGTTACAGAGTTTCCCTGTCACGTATTTATTTCATGTGTGACAGGTGTGTTTAGAAAAACGTTACCTGTCTTTTAAGGCACCCTTGAAAGGTTTATTGTAATGCACACTTTATGCAAACGTGTCATTTTCAGCAGTTTCCTTAAGAAGTGCATTTTAAGATGGTTCATTTGCTATCATGAAGACTCCGGGTAGAAGTGAAGTCTGCTTGCAAAATACTGCCAAATAAAGATCTGCCTGCCAAATATACAAAAAAATTATAAAATAGATAAATATGAAAAGAAGTTTGAAGTGTCAAACGCAAGATAACCCCTGCAGCAAAGCAGGAGAAAAACCTTTATTGTTGCTAATCTAAGAGCACATCGCGTGTCAGAGGTCATGTATTTTGCATAAAAGATGTATTGTTTTACATACTCTCAGGAAGGTGAGACCTGACCTGTGATGATGGAGTGCTGTTATGTCCTTTCCAATGCAGAATCAGGAGTGCCTTGCACACGAACCCCGGGGAAGCCGCTGGGGCTTTCTAGACAGCAAACACTTACAAGTTTTGGCCCCTGATTTTCCAGGATTTCATTACAAGAATTGTGAAAAACTGCTCACTCAAAATATATGTAAAGTAGTAATAATAATAATGCCAGTTAGCAGCAGATCAAAACAATATTAATTTCATCTCAAAGTAACCTTTTTCCTGGCTAAAAAGAGTCACTGTTCAAGGGTGAAGAGATAGTGCCTCATTCATGTGAAAACCTTTTTCCTTCCAAAATAAATGGCAAATGGATACATTTTCTTTTGAAACAGTTTAATGAAGATTCTGATTTTTTTTTTCCCCAGAGGCTGATATTTTACTAGTTTGGTTAAAAAACAAACAAAAAAAAGCACCTACTTAGGTTAATAGCATAACTTACCGTTTGATGAGTTTCACAAACACCCCCAAAACTCCACATCACTATGTGAATTTTATGAAATGGAGTTTCGCGTAGCTCGCTCTTGCACATGGACACCTCACTGAGTTTCCGTTTCGTATGGTGTCATCTGTGTCGGCAAACTATTGCATATTTCTTTCTGTCTTCCTTACATACTGTTCTGCCTCCCTGCAGCAGCAGATCAACATTTTAGTGAAATTATGTTATAATTTTACTCTATTAAGGTATTTGGTCAATTGAGGTGGAATTAATTCCGAATGCCGTTAGTGGTTTGAGTTAGTAACTTGATCTAAATTAATAAACAAATGTTTTTTCTTTTCTCTTGTACCATATGTTGATTCCAATTACATGAACAGAAAGTGGCAGATTGTCATGTTTCTTAAAAGATTACATACTCTTTTGCATAAGAGAGAGTACACAAGATGCAGTAATATACAGGGTAAAAAAACCCACACGTGCTGTTTTCTCCCTCCTACTTTTTATAAAGATACGCTTTAATTGTTCTTCCCCGTAATAGCCGCCGTTCTTGCCCCCGTGGCAGCCTTGGTGTGCTCTGGTTGTGGTTAACAAGAAGACACCCCAAGAGAGTAAACAACTTTTTGAATTAGGCACGAAAGATGCAGCTAGTTGTAAAACCTCATCTAGGACTGTGTCTCTGTGGAAAAGGGTGAAAAAAGAAAAGATCTAGAAGCTAAAATAGCAGTGGTTGCAAATGGTCTTAAAATGCCTAAAGTAAGGAGAACCCATTCAGACAATAGTCAGATCTCTGAAACAAAGGGCTGAACTCATCTATTATTCAAACCGAAAATAGATTGATAGACATCAAGATTAAGAAAGTTTATGCTAGAGAACAAAGATGTCTCATCTCCATGGTTTTCTTTATTTTCTTTTTTCTTTTTTTTCCTCCCAAAGACCAAGTTGTTCTTGCTGAACTGAAGAGCCTCACACTGGCTGGTACTGATAAGCAGCGGTCCTGTGACTTGATTGTTTTTATTAACTCTCTCAGAAAGTCATTCACCATTAAACGCGATTAGGTTCATTTGTTGTTTTATTTATGTTTGCACTTGCAAATGCGGTGCCAATGAAAACGCCTCGGACGTTGCTAACCCTGGCCCAGCAGTCACGTGTGTTGCCCTCTTTCTCTGCAGGGTAAGAAGAGTGACCTTTTTGGGTGGCTGTAACCGAAGATTGCTTCACGGGAGCAACTGAGGAAGGTAAATACAAGCGCAGTTTTGCACGCAGCTCCTGGAGCACGCCTCCGGGACGGAGCCGGTCCTGCAAGCGTGGTTTAGATGCTGGGTTGCGTTATCGGAGGCAGGCCACGTGGGCCAGCCACCGGCAGGGCTGCGTGGCCCAGGGCTCGGACCCTCCCGGCTGTGGAGCAGCCCAACGGAGAGCCCAGTTTGGCCGGTAACCGTGATTGCCTGCTCATCGCTGCAGCGGTTCCACCCGCGTGCTTTTTAGTCTTTTCTGAGCGGCGCGAAAAGGAAAAGAAACAGCGCTCTGTAAAAATGATTTTCATTTAAGGCAACGCCAAAGTCCCTTCCTTCCCAATTAACTCCTTAGCTTTCCGCTGGCCCAAAGTTGCAAGCGGGAAAGGGATATTACCATCACAAAAGTGGTGATTCATAAAATCAACTTGCAGAAGACAGGAGTAGCGCGGGATCGGCGTTGGGTGCTGAGGGGTGTCATCTGACTGAGGTTCATATGGCTGCTTTATAATCACCTTCTTTCAGAAATTAATAGTCGGTTAAGCACCATAGCAACAAGCAACACTGATGTAACCGTTAAGCAGTGGCTGCTGTTCGCTGTGATGTCAGTGCTCGTTAGTACTGTTCCCCTGACCTTGTTTGAATGCAAAATGGTGATTTCATTTTAAACTTAGAATTTTACAGAATGACTAAATGCATCCGAGTGAATGAGAGCTATTTTTGTTTTTGATTTTATTAAAATGTACTTCAGGGGACAAAAATGTCCATGTTCTCTTCTGTTTTAAATTAAAATAGATCTAAGGGTGATGCGTTTTTTCAGTTCTTTGTTGCCAAAAACAGCTATTTAGGGAGCATGAAATTCCCAAAGTTCAAGTGAATGTCGCAGTCCTTGGCCGTGCCCATGGTTTATGTCAGCAGGATGATATATATGCCTCTCTTCGAGATTTGAATATTACTGTTTTTTATGGTGGAGCCCATGAGGTATTAGAGGCAGTTCAGATACTGAAGAAAGGGGCAGGTCCTGCTCTGGAAGGCTTGCCATTTGAGAAGATGGTGGTTCCTTGCTTTGTGGAGATGGTCTCCCTTTTGTTTTTTGTGGAGAAAGGAAAAAATTTAAGTCCCAGGTGCATCAGCCTACTAAAAATTTATGGGATTCTTGTGGAGCCGTGGCTCACTATGGAGGCATAACGCTAGGTGACACAGGGAAACTAGGACTCTTGTTTGTGCTGAGTGCAAAACACTACCTTTAAACTAGCTTCAAGTTTGTGACTGGTGTCTGCAAAAGGGGACGTATTTTGTATTACTACGGTCAGGACACAGCACGTGCCGGGCAAACCCTCCGGCGTGCATCGTTCAACAGCAGCCAGGTTGGGCGATTCGTGGACTATATCACTAGAAAGGACCATTAGATCATTCAGTCCCAACTGCCTGATTGTCCAAGGTCATTAAGCCTCATCCAGGCCCCCTAGACAGAGCTGGTAAATACGGTTCAGGTAACCTCCGTCTTCCGGCAAACAAGCCGGTCTCAGTGGGAAGACACTGAGGAGCAGAGAAAACACCGCTGCCCTTTGTGAATTTTTCCGTGGATGGGGTACTGTGTAGTACACATGCAGGGTGTGTAGGCACGCAGTGCACAAGTTTGAGCACGTGTTTCCAAACCACACAACCACATTCGGAACTTAATGAAAAATAAAGTTGTTCCATGCGTGCTTTAACGTTAGGACAGTGCGAAAATATGGATCCCTCCCGCTCCCATTGCAATGAGGGGTGCTGTTCTCTTTGGGAAGCTATTTTTCTGCAGGATCGGCCCGTAAGCCTGCAAAATATTTGGTAAAATGAAAACGTAATGAATGATCTGTGGTCTGAGAAACTGGATGTCAAATTTAGACTTGGCGAGAATTGAAACGGCCGAGATAATAAACCACGAGAATAGGAGATAGTAATGGAAATAGTGATAGAGTCCTAATTAGAGCAGTGCCACTGAAACAGGGAAGGTTAAGGGCTTGGCTGATTGAGTCTGAGCTCAATTGCTTGATAGCTTAATTTCAGGTGAAATCCCATCTTCTGAGTTAGTGGGTAAGCCGCTCGGCGCGGTTACAGAGCAAGTCTCCGTGCTCCTCGAGGGGCGGCTGCGCGGCCCGCCGCATCCCTGGACGGCGTGGGAGCCTGGCCTCAGGCATGCAAAGCGGGATCCCAGCACAGAGCTGATAAAATAGGTTTTTACGCTTCATGTTTTGCTTGTTTCTTTTTTCCGCGAGCTCCGGAGAAGTCTTTAACAGCGACACAGATAACTGAGCAGATACGGCAAGGGGCTCTGATGGTTAAACCTTCAAGATTAAGCTGTTTACATTCTCCTTTATTTAGCACTGTTAGGCGTAATGCCTAATTATATGCCAGTTTTGCTCAAAGTAAGAATTTGAATCGAAATGTTTGATTTGGGGAGAAGGGAGGGGAAATGTATTTTTACAGAAATTACGGACAGTGTTGTTAGTTTTCTGGGAGCAGTCATTTGTTTAAGTGCATTTTCAATAATCAAACACATTCAGTGAGCATTGTAAATCAGGGATAGCTTGCATGCTGAAAAATTGAAAAGTACAAAACATGCTACTAAAGTTGTACATTATTGATAACAAAAGACACATGCAGACTTTTAAGATAGCAAAGATAGAATCCTTCAGAAAGCCCTGACAGGGAAAAAAATCGACACAAAAGGATTTAGCAAAGTTACACTTAGTTTAAAATTTCAAATCTTAATGCTTGTCAGAATTAAATGCTGATTAAAGGTTGATAATAAAACAGTAGCTGCCTGCTGCAACTCAGAACCGAATAAGATGATCAACAGATGAATCTGTGGGTCTGAGCTTGGTCAGAGCTTTAACTTTTTTAATTCTATTTTCTCCTCTCCTCCTTCCCTGCAAGTCAGGAGAAAGGTCAGAAGGTTTTTTTTTCCAAAGTGCAATACAAAAAATGTGTTGCGCAGTGAAAAAAAAAGTGGTTCTGGGACCAAAAAAAATCATTTTTCTCCAATATTCACGCCACTTTGTTTCCTCAGGAAGAGTTGTAGCTTTAAAACTGTGTCGAATGTGTCACTGTGCCACTTCTTTGTTGGCCTCTGCACACATCTCCCTCTTCTCATATCTCCAGGCTTCCCTACTTAGGACTTCGGGAGATTATTAGAGTGATATTTTTCCCTACCAATTTTGGCACCTTGATTTCTCCTGCTTTTGACCCACTGGTCTTAAAGCATATTACAAAGCAGAAATGGCCTGAAATCCCAGAAGATGCAGTGCATAGATAGCTCTGTGTATGGCTCTAGTACCAACTACTAGAAGCATTTTGCATCGGTGCTTGTATCGCGCTGGGCAGGAGACAGGGATTCAGGAACCACCGCGGTATTTTGCTGTCCGCTGTTTACTTCGTGGTGTGGTGTTAGGCGTGTTGCTCGAGTGACTGGAGTGTCTTTTAGTCCGCATCTAAAACTGCGTTATTTACTTTCTGATTGTTGGGGGAAATTGTAATATCTTACTTGTTAACCCCTTTCAGATGGATAGGCGATGTGAGGTGCAAAGTCTTTCTTTAATAATAGAAATTACAATATTACCTGCACGTTTTGGGGTGAAACGAAAAAGAACTTAATTATGGTCCTGTGGCAACACAGATTGTTCGTACCTGCTTTCATGAGGGGTTTTAGTCTGGAGATGGGTGAAGCCGTGACTTTTCTGAAGCAATTGGGTCAAGAAGATTTAGAAAATAGATTAAGACATTTTGGAATAATTTAGAAAGTATTTGAGCAAATCTCATTAACATGGACCACTAGCATGCGGTATTGAAGACTTCAAAGATCTGTCAGAGGAGTTCTCTCTGCGCTATTGTCTGCCAGCATTAGCAATCTCAAGAGAACATGTTTCTTTTGTTTGCTTTTGGCCCATTTAGCTTTTTTTCTTCTTCTTTTTCTTAATGTTCCTTAATGTATTATAAATCTTCAAGTGGGTTGGTAGAAAAATATGTTTCCCAGCTGTAAGACAGTCAGTAGCAGGTTTTGATCTTCTTATCTGACGCTTGTGGACCGAATCCTTCTGGTCTTCATGAGGCTGCTAAAGTGAGCAAGATTTGGTCAGTGTTTTGCATACTCCTACTGTGTTTCTTCCCGTCGTCTTAGGTAGATGCTTGATACGATCTTCAGTAAAACGCAAGCGCTGGTTTGTATTACCGCTCATCCCATCTGAAAGGCAGCCCGAGCTGTTTGGGGAAGGGCGCTGTAAAAGCTGCATTTGAGTAGTTGGAGCCTGTTCTGGTTCTGCCACCAGTGGTCCGTGAGCGGCCTCTCCTCTCCCACCGATCGTTGCTTTGCCAGAGGCCGTTTTAAACGGGTATATCCCCGGTGTTATTCCTTTCCTGCTTGTGAGCTCTTCCAGGGTAGTGAACTGGCCTTTTCTGCCTGCGTGCTCCATACTCGGAGGGTGATGTGGAAAGTTTCTCAGCAGCATGCGTGTGTTCCTCAAAGGTACGTACAGCGTGTGGGTCTGCGTGGGGCTGGCAGGAGAAATGGAGAAAAGGAAAGCCTTTCCCCAAAAAAGGCTGTGGGGAAACGGAGTACAGATGCAGGATGCTGGTAGGACAGTCTCTCTCTCTCTCGCCTTCGTAGTGTGACCCCCAAACTTAACTTTCCAAGTCGCTCTGGCAGGACAAGGCTGAGGCTAGCCAGCCTGGGTGTGCGAGGTTGGGTCTCCCTTTCCTTAACTGCCCAGTTCCAGGAAATTCGTGGCAACTTAACATCAGTGCCTCTGGCAAAGGTGCTTAGAATTGGCCTATACGTTCAGAAAAATTGCTTGGAACCGACAAACTGAAAACAGGCTAAAAACGGTTCTGTAGCAGGTACAACGGAAGGGTACGACTGTGGTGGCGTGATCCTGTCCAACTTGGCCTAACCGCAGACGCACCAAGGACAGAGGGTAGGAGGTGCTCGCGGCGCGCTGTGTAGTTCCGGTTGTGCTGCTCCCAGT